TCGACCAGCAGTTACTGCGTATCTCCGACAATCTGCCTCTCACCCAACACGTAATGTTTCCAACGAGAGTTCGAGAGGACCAACAAATGAATTGCCTTGATCTAGTGTTCACCAAGTCCTCTGACAACATCGAATTTGTGAATTGCCTCCCTCCGTTGGGCCAGAGTGACCATGTAGTTCTCATGTGGGAATACACCTTCTTCTCCCTGCTTGCACAACCGCTCGATTCCCGACACAATATTTGGCGCGGAGATTTCGAACAGATGAGAATGATTCTTAGCCCTATCGACTGGGCATTCACTCTCTCCGGCGATGTCGAAGCGGATTGGTGTCAGTTCAAAGAGTTAGTCCACAATCTCATCTCCAACCACTGCCCAATCATGCGCAGAAGACTAACAAATAGGTCCCGCTGGTTGACCCCTTCCTTTAAGAAGGAAGTTAACAAAGAAGAGGACTCTGTGGAAAATATGCCTGACTGACCGGACGCCAGAATACCTAAGCGGTTATAAGTTATAGAGAAATCGAGTCAAAATTATCATCGCCAGATATCGGAAAGCCTTTGAAATGGATCTTTTGAACCGTGCTATGGTTAATCCCAAAGTCCTTTACAGCTACATAAGACAAAGCACGCGGAAAAAGGATCCCATTCCACTGCTGCGAGCAGCCGAGGAAATGGAAATATCCGATGACAAGGATAAGGCGGAACACCTCTCTCAGTTCTTCCGGTCCGTCGTGACAATTGAACCTGCATTTCGCTCACCTATTTGTGAAGACGAAGAAACGCCTACCCTCGAAGCCGTATTTTTCACTGAAGACATTGTTCGGAATGAGTTACTAAACCTAAAAGAATCGACACCCCCAGGCCCTGATGCAATCCCCGCCAAGCTGCTAAATGAGCTAGCTCCCGAAATGTCCAAGCCATTAGCCTTGATCTTCCAAACGTCATTTCTTACCGGATGCCTGCCCTCTGACTGGAAGTCCGCTACCATCACTCCGCTTTTTAAGGGCGGAATTCGTGCGTCTGCGAATAACTACAGGCCAGGGAGTCTTACGTCCATCTGTTGCAAAATCATGGAGAAGATCATTAAGAAGGTCTTGATGCAGTTCCTCGAGCAGCACCACCACCTCCACGGAGGAATTCGTGGACGCCTTCTTGTACGGATCCAGAGCTTTTTGGCTGGACGGTCCCAAAGAGTGCAGGTCGGGCGTCAACAGTCCTCGGAGGTAAGCGTGGTGAGTGGCGTACCAAAGGGCTCACTCTTAGGTCCCACGTTATTTCTCGTTCTCATTAAATGACTGCGTCAAGGACCTAGACTGTGATACCATCCTGTTTGCCGACGACATTAAATTGTGGAAAGTTATTCACAATGCGGCAGACGCAGACCACCTGCAAGCAAACTTGAACAGGCACGAAGACTGGTCGAAGCGCTGGCTTATGCCCTTCAATATAAGCAAGTGCAACTTTCTTCAACTAGGCAGCTTCAAAGCCTCCAGCCCCAGGACTTACTTTCTACACGGCACACCACTGCAACAGGTTGACAGTCAGAAGGACTTAGGTGTATGGATTACATCTTAACTCAGACCAACACTGCACTGCGCGAAGGCTGCTAAATCGGCAATGGCTACACTGCAACTCACTAAGCGAGCATTCATGGGATTTGACCCTGACTGCTTTTCCAAATCATTATGCAAATACGTGCGGCCTCAACTAGAATACGCCATACAGGCGTGGAGAACTTGGACTGCCAAGGACTATACGCATTTGGAGAAGGTCCAGAGACGGGCGACCAAAATGACACAAGGTCTGGGAGCGCTGGCTTACGAAACCCGACTGTCAACTCTTAGCCTGTTTCCACATTCCTACAGGCAATTACGTGGTGAACTTATACTAACATTTCGCATTATCAACGGCCTAGATTGCTGTTTGGATCCCACTGATTATTTCACACAAGATAACACGCCCAAGTTCGAAAATTGCCATCGTAAAATTCAAAAGGCAATTTGGCGAGCATAAGTCTGCTCTTCGTTCAGAAGTAATGAATGAAAAGGAAACACGGGCACGTAGATAATTAAGTTGTACCTAGGGATTGGAGAGGGGACGGCAGGGGAGGAAATAGGGAGAGTGAAAGAACAGAACTGCAGTCAGAGTCAAGGAGAAGGTGGGTCCCGGCGGAGAAGGTAAAAACATGCGGGCGGGCGGGAGGGCGGGTGGCTAGCATAATGGATTTCACCCACGCCAAATGTGGGCGCAAATTGTAGGAAAAACTGCTGGGCGCCAAAAGCGGGCCAAGTGGCAAGCGGGCCCATAGCCACTCCATCTGTCTTTCTATATAGATTGTTGTCGTCGAATAGGAAGTGCACGCTCAAAGTGCACCTAAATAACTGTTGCTTGAGGGCATTCACTGTCGGTATTAAACGTATATCCTGTTGGTTATCGGCAGCAATGAAATCACAAAGGTATGTAGCTGACCATTTCCATGATCGGTACGTTCGTAAAAAGGAATGAGACGACATCTAACGAAAAAATTACCATTTCGTACAGATCGAAGTTTTTCAGGCCGTTAATGAATTCAACAGTATCTCCATAGCTATGTGACGCTAGAAGATACTGCATTGACTTAAGTTTCACCGCCAGCCATTGCATGGAACGGCGATTTCCTCATATGGAGTATTGGACGAACCGATGCTCCATCTT